TGATACTCATAATAATGTGGACCATGCTTTGGTAGGTACTCAGGAGGCTTGAGATTATTTTTGTGTAAAAGTGACAAAACATTGAATTCTCTAAACTAACCTTAATCAAGGAACTATGTAGTAAAGAATTAGAGAGGTGACCCTCTTGGTTTTTACCAGGAAATTACTATCAATGGATTTCTGTACCCAACAGTTGTAAAAGTTCTTGTTTTTTCAGAATTGGAGTCAATCGTGACAGAACTCGGGGGTTTCCCAGGTATTGTTGTACTTTATTATGGCCTAATTACGAGTTTTTTTATATGTTTGTCAGATTCTCATTCAGTCCCAGAGCTCCAATGAAGAATAATTGTAACTTTGCATGCATTCAGCTACTGGGCTATACTGAATACAGTTAGGAACATTCTTTTGTAGCAAAAAAAAAAAAGAAAAAAAAGAAATACGAACGAACAGTTTTATTAAAAAATGTTGCAGATTTTGCAGTGTGTTTGTAACTACAATTCAGTATGTGGCATAAGATCACAAAACAATGACCTTCAGCATGACTGCCTAAATGTCTTAATATGGTATAGTCTTCTGGCCAATAGCTTCCTCCATCATCTGTCATTTCAGGCCTAAAAGGACACACAGGTTGGGAATCAGGGCCGGTGTAAGGTTACTGTTGACCCTTGTACCACTAAAGGTGACCAGTATCTATTTTCTTACAATATCATCCACAGTCAGGCAGATGAAAGAAATGATCACCAACGATAGAACCTCCTGATTGTTCAATCAATTCTCCTTGTCAGTGCCTTAGGAAATGTAGAGATGACAGTATGGAAAATGTTAATACTTTTGTTAGGATGTGAAGGTTTAAAAATGGGTGCCTGCTGGAAAAATTGTCCTATGCACGGTACTTTAAAAGAAACCTTGAAAACCTCTAAATCACTGTAAAGCTCATAAATTATAGCTTCCAAAAATTTTAGTTTTTGTTTTGGCAGGTACTGGTAAGCTTTTAAGCTCAAAACTGAAGATGTTTGCCAAACAGAATGACTAGCCTCTGCATTACCTTAGCCATACAGACAAACTGAACTGGACCATTCAGTAGATAAAAGGCTAACAAATTGTTTCCTATGACAATGTTTTGTAGAAGAAACAGTTTACAAAAGAGCATTCCATAACTCAGACCATTGAAAGCTGGGGTTACTTTCTACCCTTTTGCGTGTGAGCTCTAACCAGAGTGAATTACATCAGCATGTTGAAGCTAAATGTTACACCAACTGTTTCTAAATACAAGCAACATTCATGTGATGTTTAAGGAAAAAGTTGTGGTTCTAAACAACATCAACTTGAAAAAAAATACCTCTGAAAATACATATTTATTGAACCAAAATATAGTAACTACAACTAAACTACACAGTGCATGCAATTTGTTTCTATTTTGCTCCCAAGTTTGTTCTGTTATTTTTTTTTCACATCCAACCAAACGAGTTGTGAAGTTACATGTATGCTCCATTTTATCCACAACATAAAATATTCATATTACACACTATGAAAGATTTGACATGACCATAAAACTCTACCATTGGACGGTAAACTTGTACATCTTAAAAGTAGTCAAACAGGGAGAAACATTTAAACGTGGCAAGTACATGTTCTCATGTAACATAGGAATGGCTATGCAAGGAAAGTTCAGCCCATCGACATAGCTCTCAAGCAGGCTTTGTCAGTGCAGTGAGTCGATTGTTTCTTAGCTTGCAAGAGTCCCAAACCTTACGTAAAGCGACCTGGCAAGAGGTCAGAGATTAAAAGTGCCAGAACCCCCAGAGGGCAGGCTATAACCAACACAGGCAAATCTAACCAAACCTCTAAGCAAATTATGCAATTTAGTGACAAGTATGTCATTGAACACAGCATACAGGGGTTTAAGTAGCCACAAAAGTGTCGGTTCAAATGTGGGGCAAAAAAAGATGCCTGTATAAATGCTGATGTTTCCTTCCAGTAACAAATGAAAATACAATTTCCCTATCTATGAATTGGGTAAGCTGAATTTCAGCATAGTGCACTTTGACCCTTGAATTCCCATGGGTGACCAAGACAGACTATTGCTGTGTACAGTATTTGTACCCTTTTTCAGAAACTAATTTCAAAGAAGTCTCCAGGACTCGGATTGATTTTTTCCAAGACTCCAAATTTCACTTAAACCCTTTTATTCCCTAGATTTAAAACTCAATCTCCTCACCAACTACACACATTTCTTATATTGTAAATTCTTAAAACTTGATTACTTGAGTTAGGCAGATTTCTGGAAATCTCCAGGACCTGTAGTCTTTTTCCACGACTTTCCATTACTGGAACATATCAAAATAAAATTCCAGGACTTTCCAGGTTTTTCAGGGCTCGTATGAACCCTGCTTACAATATCAAGCAGACAGGTGATAAGAATAAAGAAAACTACCAATTAGGGGATAATTGGTTGATCAAACACCACATCCTCTGCACTAACATCATAAGAATTGTATGGCTGACAGTAAGAAGAATTACCAATGTGATCTTGGAAGTGAAAGGCGGTAATCATTTTTATTACATGACTCAGGCAGTCAGAGGGCCAATAACTAAAATAGACCAATCAAAATGCTCTATTGCCGGTCAATATTCTCTCAGTATTGGACTGGCCACTGTGCAGGATGGTCCCGAATGATACCGCAATTGTGTCCCTTTGAACTTCAGTCGTATAATAAATCTCTTATTAACCAAGCTTGCTCGGGACTGTACTGGAAGAATATCGGCCCTCGCTCTTTTTTGTATGGACCTCGCTGCGCTGCGTCCGTACTGTCAAGACCGTGGGCCGATATTCTCCCAGTATGGCCCTTGTGCTTGGTTAATAGGATATATTTACATACTCACTGTCAATACATATTCAGTCATGCTTTATGAGGGTGAGTAAAAAGAAACTCTTGTCATTTTGACAGAAACAAGTGTTAGCCTCATTAGAAGGACAAAATATTATTTTATAAAAGTTGAGTTGCAATATTTTTGCCCATGAACACCTACAAAATGTACAGCCAAAACCTACAGCTACATGAAAAACCTCTACACTATTTTGTAAAAAATGCTGGGAAATCTAAATAAGCATTTATCAGCCACTAATCAGTAAACCTAGGTTCTGCTAACAAAAATAATCATAATTGCTGTAAGTTCTTGGGAAATAACAATTTCAGAGCATTAAAACTGTTTCTTTTGCTAAGAAAGGCAATTTTACTACCCAATCAAAATTTGACTTGGGAATGGAGAAAACAATAATTGTCCAAAAACATAAAAGAAATTTTTCATTGTCATGAACTAAATTTCTTTTTCTCTGCTTGGACTTCTTTAGCTCTCTTCAGAATTACTTCATTTCTCTGTTTAATCTGTTGAATACGGGCATCCAGTTCTCTTTCCCTTGCAAATTTTTTTGTCTCCCTTTTTGGGGATTCCTTTTGGTTAAGCTCCTCAACCTGGGTGGCTTTCTTCTCAGCTACTTTCTTTTCTGAAAGTCGAGACCTCAGGTCTGTAAGAACAAACAAAAAATTGTTGACCCAGAAACGAACACAGGGAACATTTTGTATGGATGATGATGATGATTAAGAAATTTGTGGATTCTCCTTCCATGCTTTCCTACATTTCCTTGTGGAACACAAGGAGAATTTGACAATGCATCAAATGTCCCTTAAAAAAATTTTGAAATACCTCTGTTACAATTTACATTGACAAGTACCATGCAACGGGTCCAAACAACTAAGAATTTTTGACACATTTTATTCCCTGGAATAAGTTCACAAACACTTGTGTAAAATTTCAGGCTAAAAAGAAGGGCACTTATTGGAAAAAAGGGTGCTTAAAAGAGGGGGGTGCTTCCAAAGTAAGACCAATGATAGGAAAAAATTAAGAGGACAGATAATGCACAAAAAGGAACTCTGTGAGCACATGGAGATTACACCAACTAGAGGTGACTTTAACAGAAAAGTTGCGGTCGCCTTGTACTGATTCCATTGTAGTTAAGGCTGAAAAAGGGATAAATCAAGTGGCAACAGACACAGGTTATCCTTGTTTACCTAGTATTTAAGGAGAAGGAAGGCAGGGAAGAGGGTGGTTATTCAAGAGGTTGTGTTTGTTTGTTTGACACTGAAGCCTTACGAGTGGGCACTTTTAAGGGGAGGGCACTTTTAAGGGGAGGGCATTTTTAAGGGGAGGGTACTTTTAAGAGGAGGAGACTTAATAGAGTGCAGGTGCTCATTTCAGGATATAAGGTTCTTGGAATGCTCAGTTGCAGAGACCTTCCTTAGGCGTGTCTTAACACCAAAGAGTACCTACTTGCTCAGGCAGCCTACTTACCTTTGGGTTTTACAATTATTACACCATCCACATCCCTTTGAATTGTAGACTTTGAAATACTTTTGCTTCCACTGGCACTTTGTTTAACTGTTGAAGTAGCTCCTCTTACTTTGACAATTTTTTCCTTGTCACCTTTATCCTGATTTCTCATCTCTTTTCTTGGTGACATTGATGAGTGTGTTGCACTAACTTTCCCTTTACTTTTATCTCTCCTGTCCTGATGTTTTTTAACCTCACTTTTCACACTGTCTCTTTTGTCTGATTTTTCTACATTTGACTCAACTGGTCTCATTGTTCTTCTGCTCCTTGCTTGCGAGTCTGACCTGGAGCGAGAACGGTAATGCCTATTATTTTTGCTGTCTCTAGAAATTCTTTCATGTTTTCTGTCTCTGCTACGACTTCTCTGGCGATGGCTATAATTTTGCCTTCTATGTTTTCTATCTGCTGACGGTGAACGTAACCTTCTATGATTAGGTCTCTCCCTCGATCTGTTTGGTAAGCGCTGATCTCGCAGTCTGTCATGAGAATGCGAGTGACTGTAGTATGAACACGATGAAGTACGAGATCTTTCTGGTGAATGGGAACGTTTTTTTCTGTCACTTTCTTTGGAGTCACTCCTCCTTTTCCTACGACACTCACTCTTGGGTATTTTGTTCAATCCTACTTTAGATTTAACTGCAGAAGGACTCTCCTCCTCTTCTTCAAAATCACTGTCTTCATCCTCAATGCTAAGCTGATCAAAGTCCATTTTCTCCTCATTTTTAGCCTCTGATTTCAACTCTATGTCAAGTGACTTGGTTTCATTATCAATATATGCCTTTGCCTTGCTTTCATGACTGGTAGCTTTCTCATTACAAGCTTTGGCCTTGTTTTCAAGACTGATAGCTTTCCTACTACAAGCTTTTGCATTGTTTTCATGACTGATTGCTTTCTCACTATAAGGTTTGGCCTTGTTTTCAAGACTGATAGCTTTCTCACTACAAGCTTTAGCTTTGTTTTCCAGACCAACAGCTTTGACTGACACAATTTCGCTGCACTTTTGTATCACTTGTTTGTTGTTTAGGTTCTCTTTGTCCTTCCCCTGCGACTGTTCCTTTGATGGTAAATCTTTCTTGTTTTGAAAGTTTGATGAGGTTGCAATTCCTGATTTCTCTCCAGTAAAAGGTTTGGAATTGCTTTTCTTTCCTTCTTGTAGACTCTTGACAGTTAAAATTGTATTTTTTTCACTTTTTGATATCACATCTTTCATTTTTATTTGATTTGCAGGTGATACCTCAGTTTTTTTGTTTTCAGAAGGGGTACTCACCGTAACAGATGCCACCACAGGATTTTCCCTTTTGCTAACTTCATCCTTTTTTATTTGACTTCCGTTTGAGTGATTTTTTTCCAGCACTTTTGTTTTATTCACAACGTGGTTGTCCTTCTCATTCTCACTGTCTGACCAACTAACAATGATGCGTTGTGAAGATGACAAACTACTCTCGTTTACACTTTCTCCAGCACTTCCATCAACTTGGTTCAACTTGCTGTTAGTATCGTCCTCACCATCCACAATTTCCAGATTGACATCAGAGCTCAGCACAAGTGATTCATTGGCAATGGTAATACTAATGTCATTTGAGATGCTGATTTCATTGTCAGAGTTTGCCAATTCATCTTCCGACTGTTCTGAATTATTTTCCAAATTATCCTCCGAGTCTCTGTTAAATTCTTCCACATCTTCACCATCATTTGAGACATTATCAAACTCATCATCTTCATCAGTGAGAATATCATTGTCATCAACATCTTTCTGATCCACAAAAGTGTCATTTTCAACTGCAAACTCTTCAGTTAAAACAAGATCACTTTTAGCATTATCATCTTCACTTAGACCATCATCTGAATCCTCTTCAATATCCATTTCCTGATCACTTTTGGGGGAATTGCTTTGAAAATCATCATCACTACCTGAATTATCAACATCCAAGTCACTCTCATTACCAACTGACTCATGGTATGACTTCTCGCTAAGGTCAATTTCTTCATAATCTGTACTTGATGAGGAGAAGCTGTCCTGTCTTTCAAGGGCAACTATCTGCAAATCACATTTTTCTTCTCGTCCTAGACTTACACGCCGTCTATCTCCCACATCTGCCGAAGCTGATTGCCGTTTCCCATAAGAATTCTGCAAATACAACATTTATTTTTTAGTGGCAGTTCAGAGCATTGGTTGCTACAACAACTGGGATGTAATATCAAATTGAATGTTTACTACACATGTATGTGCTTCATAGTATGCAGTTAGTAAGACAAGTGACACTGATGTATCTCTACAGATTGATATGACAGTGCTGTTACCTTGCAGAATGACTCTACCAGGATATAAATGATAACCGACAAATAATTTGTTTCATTCTCTCTCTCAGTTAGTATGCATGCTATGAATGGTCAATTTAGCAGGCTGTATTTTGCTGTATGAGCTACTAAATTCAAAAGTTTACCCCTTTATTTGAACCCAGATATATACTTTAAGATCTTATTAACCTTGTTTTTCAGTACGTATCCAGGGCTTGACACTAACTTTTCAACTTACGAGCCAAGTGGCTAGTGACATCTTAGATGTTAAGACAATTTCAGTTTGTTTACTAGCCAAACTGGCAAGTGGAAATTGAAAACCACTAGCCAAAACTGAATTTCTACTGGGCTTCAGGCCCTACTTATCGTAAGTTACAGAACCACATGTTTTTTTCTGCTCAGTCCATAACTTAACTCGCTCAAAAAGAAGTATTTACATGGAAAGCAATAGAGGGGCGAGTTTCTTCTTGATGTGACAAGTAAAACAGATCAACAAAAGGCATGCTAATGAGGTGACACATGATAAGCAGTTTTTTTTCTTGCCTTTGTGCCCAAGCTCTTTAAGGCAGCAAGCCGCAATGTTTCCAAATCATCAAAGTCCTCAGCTTCATCATCATCATCATCTATACTTTTAACAATTCTTCTGTTGTGCTAAAGGAAAAAAAAGACATCCAAGTAAGAAGAGATGTTCTGTGTTTCCCTTACATTGCAACTTTCAGCCACATGAACTAAATTACAAAGCTCCAAGAGTTTTAATCTTTCACCGCACTGACAACAATATGCATATTCTCCATACTGCTCTCTATACATTTCTGACAATGCTGACAAGGAGAATTTGATTTACAGTCAAAAGCCTCTTTAGTTGGTGATCATTTCCTTTATTCTCATTACTTTATGTGTTTGATTCAGGGTCGATAATGTAAAGAGAAATTAAATGTTAGTCACTCTTGGGGGTCATAGGGTTAGCAAGGACTTAATTAAATAATGAAAAAAATTAAAATCACCTGACTAAGGTATTTGACACCCTCAGGAGACAGCTATGGCGAGTCTCGACTTAACCCAATGGTTAGGGTTGGGGTTGCAGAAATCCATTGACCTTTTTCCAGTATTTTGATGTTAGGGTTACAGTTTAAGTTAGGGTTTGAGCAACCACAAGTCAAGTGACAAGCATTCTCATTGCTCTCCAGCACCCTGGGGTAAGTAGCCAGATGGCACTGGTCTTGCTGAGCCCAAAAAATTTTGCACTAACCTGATAATTTAAAAACTGTAACTTGCAGTTTGTGTTCTAATCCCAAATTGAGCCCTGCAAGGCTTTTGACAACTACCTTCCCCTTCTAAATCCCTATTCTTTACTAAGAATTACACAAAACTTTCTAGTTTTACTAATATCATAACTAGTTAACAGTTTGCATAGTTAGAGACATGAAAATAGCAATATAGTGACAAAAGGAAGATTTTATTAATTAATTCCTTAATAATGGTAATTGAACTGAGTGGAGTGCAATTTGCGCTGAAATCATATGCGTGATTTGAAATCACAAGTATGATTTCAGACCAAAATTGCACAACACAAGGTTCAATTACCACTTTATTAGATCCATTTTGAAATCGCCCAAATACAGGACTTGGTCAATTCAAATATTTTACTGATGCAGTACTGAGCTGGTTTTAATTTTAAATAAAAAGCGGAACCGCAAAACGCTTTTACAGCTTATTTTGTATGCAAAACAGAAAGACTTTGACGTCATGTGTCAAAAACTCAGTCAAGCGTAGAATGATGCGATTTAGAGCAAAAAATGGCACGATTTGGGAATAAATCGCACCAATTAGAGCCAATCAGATTACAGGGACCACCAGTGATTTCAAAATGGATGTAATAAATGGGAAAAAAACACTCTTTTTGAAAACATGGCTCTGAGTTGTGGTTACTTTTAAAATATAACTGAGCTCCTGTCAGCAGCTCCACTCAGGCTTAGTTCAGACTGATAGCACAAGAATTGATTTAAATCTCTAATGACTACGAAGAGGGCCATTTAAACATTGTTTAAAACAAAGCAAACGTAACACACACTGCAGCGCATGATACTCCCAAATCCCCCGGTCAATTTTCTTTCTTCCGTTCGTGTTTTACGATTTTACAGTTCCTCATCACAACATACATAGGTACAAGCAAGTGGCCTAGTTTAAAATTAGAACAATAACTCTGTTTAAGAGTTGTACGAAATCTGTGGCACGAAGGATTCTAGATGCCGCGAAACAACAAGTCCAAACGAAATTTGCCCCGCAACGCTCGGGAGACTTTACCTCAAATTCTTTTGAGACCGCAACCCTGTAACGATCTCGCCTGAAAACGTCGTAATCATTCTACAAGTAAAAGAAAATGTGAGGGTTAATAAAGATAAATGTGAATCACACAATGTCACTGAGGACGACTGATGTTTTCTGCGAAATACCTGCTCCAAAGCGTCCATCTTGAATCTTTCGACCTCAGACAGCCTCTGCGCAATTCTCTGCGCATTACTTGGCGAGAGTAACCGCTGAAAGGTAGCTGATGTTACGTCACGAAATACAAGAATACAAAACATTCCTTTAGTTTTTTTTTTTTTTTTCGTAACTTTCACTTGTTGACTAGACTTCTGTATGGTGTCCGAGAACTGCCATTAAAAATATTCAAATTTATAGGAATTATTTTTGTTATTATTTTTTTGAAATTTCGATTTATTTCTCATTTTTCTCTTTACAATAAAAGCAAGTGAAAGTAAAATGTAAAATAGAAATAAAATGAAACCAAAGATAAATGAAATCAAATCAAAACTAAACACTGCTCGGCCGAGGGCTGTCACTAGTTT